AATAAACAAAACAACTAAAAACAAAAATAAAATGGATTCTCAGTCTCCATTAACAAAAAAACGAACTTGAATAAAAACTAAACAACATAAAACCACAGTGAAAATAAATACTACATTCAACCAAAAGACTGCAGATTATGAATTCTTTATTGCCCTTCAGTAATCATTAGATTTAGATAGAGAAGATGGACATATCCGACTACCTGATGCAGTAAGTAGTTCACACTGCACGATTTTTTGCCCCTATTTTCCCCTTATGACAATCTTAGAACGTTGGCCGATCTAAGATTGTCGCTTGCGATTAGTGGGTGGTGTGTTACAGTAGATTGTTGTGGCCGCTCTGAACTAAATCAGGGGTTTTCCCAACTGGGAGCTTAATGCAGCCTGTTGAATGTGACAGGTAGCCAATCAGAAAGCGCGGATTACCTTCTGTGCTTTCCAGTGGCGCAACTGCACATTATTCAGGTGGATGCGAAAACATAAATCCCCACCCCTCCCCCCCCCGAGGCGACGCTGTGTCAAGTGTAAAACTCGCTACATGTACCTCGTTATGTGCGACAGGTGAAGGAGAGTGAGGCGCGCTGAACTGTATGGGAAAACATAATCGGCTCGTCGCCCCCTCCAGACGGGGTTTTGGCGCCCCCTCTGGTGCTGCACTCCTATGCGTTGCATACGCTGCATACCCACTTTTTGCGCCTCTGGTGCTTTCTGAGGGGAAATTGCAGAGGGGAATCCCAAACAGCTGACACGTTGCAACCCGAAGTCCAACAGACATCGGAGATGATATGTGGAAACAACATTAATGCTTATTCAACATTTCGTGCAAAGAATATAGAAATGACAAGGGGAGGAGTTGGAGCCAAATTACTACCGCAGTTGATAAACCCGGTAACTTTTCAGCTGTTCTTCGTTAACGTGAAATAAATAGGTTATAATGATTTTCATTCAGTCAGGACTTTACGTGGACACTTGCCACATGCTTTGCAGGTAGATTGTAGTAAAACATTGATTAATGCCTGGTTTTTAAATTAGTTAACTGGACTTGTAGCCATTATTTTTTGCCGATTGTTGGACACCACTCGGCACAATCGAACCCGATCGAAACGTTATACCTAGGATTTCTGTCAGTTAATGTGTGGTCTCTCAGGCTTTGAAAATGGGCCAACAATCAGCCGACAATTCTAAGTTTGTGTAGTGTGCGCTGGGCATTACACTGAGGAAATGAGGAAGGGAGGGGTCAGTGGATAGCACCGAAGTTGAGCCTTTTTTATTCAGTGTCATCAACAGAAAGAGAAAAAGGCAGGAAGAAACAATAAAGCTGATCATTAAAATGAGGTCGATAGTTTTAATTTATCGTGCAATTAATTGATTTATTGTTTATTGCGACAGGCCTATAAATAGTCTCCACTAAACATTGAAATCCTAGAGTTTGCTTTACTTTTTCACACAACTTTATAAATTCCTTTTTAAGCAGAACTTAGAGGTCATTGTGAACAGAAAACATAAGCTGCAAGTTGTTCCAGTCCGAGGTTTATCTGAATAATTTCTGCAGCTGTGGGATCTGTAAGAAGAACCAGGACCAACATCTTCTGGTGCTGTGCGACACTTGCAAACTCTACTACCACCTGGGCTGCCTGGAGCCTCCTCTCACCCGGATGCCCAAGAAGACAAAGAACAGCTACTGGTGAGACTCATCCAGACTCTGCAGGGCGGGATTCTTTGTTTCCTGCACTTTATTCATGTGGGAAACTCAGAAATGACATCAGTTCTGTTCATGCTGATAAAACAAGTGATGCAGGATGGATTGTTAATAATATGGATCCTGATGTTTGTTACATTAATTTTTATTGTTAAATACATTTTCAAAGAGCAACTCCCCATTAACATTCTGGTTGTAACTGTCCCTCAGATGAGAGAACAGCACAAAGCAGTGTAGGCAGCATTTATGATGCAACTCATTCATCCTATGAATATAATCAGCAGGCTCTTCTTTTTGATTCGCCTCCTCCTAAAGGAGCAGCTAACAGTTGGATCTGGAGAGCATTTTAGTCGTATTATTGGTGACATTTTTGTTCCGTCTGTGGAAGCTGTTTTATCAGATAGCAGATGCAGAGATGGTAGAAATGTCACCCTCTCCCTTCCCCTCCCACAGCCTGCAGCTTTTTATCTGAAGAAGAGATTTAATGCTTCTGCCTCTCCACATTTAGCAACTCTAATGAACTGTGGTCATTAGAGAACAACTAGAACTGTCTTTTTTCCATGTTATAAATGAAAGAAACAAGGAGAGGCAGCTGGTTAATTGTACATGATGTCCTCCTGATTTTGTAATGACGCTGGTCTCATATTTCAGCTTCTCAGTTGATTCATGATGTAAAACTGGAGTGTCAGATGTTTATGGCTTCATCATTTTTGTATCAGTGAGTTAAAAACAGAAATTCACAATCAGGTCAAGACTAGTACAGTCATGAATTTAATTTTCCAAGTTCAACGTGGCAGGCTTTTAAAACACTTTAAAGCAGGATTTTAAAGTGGATCCTCGAGGGCCGGCATCCTGCATGTTTTGGTTCTCTCCCTGGTTTTACACACCTGCATCAAATGATGACTCATTAGAAGGCTTAAGGAGAACGTTGACTTGCTGAGGAGGTTGTTACTACCACTAGGGAGAGAACTAAAACATGCAGGATGCCGGACCTCAAGGACCGACTTTGGACACCCCTGTTTTAAAGGAAACTGAAGTGTTTTTTAGCATGGACGGACAGAACGATTTGTTTCAATTTAAAATAGAACTGCAGCTAACAGTTACTTTAGTAATCGACTGAAGCCATTTTCTACAACATTAGAAATGGATTAAAAATTCAAATAAACTTCAGAACAGACTTACATTTTACTTTTTTTGAGTGCAAAATACATTTATGTTTTGTACAGTTCTGGCTTAATATCTGGCTCAGAGTTAACGTAATGATTAATCAATTACTAAATTAGTTGATGATTATTTCAATAACCAATTGAGCATGATTAATCTGATGAATCGTTCAACCCTAATCTAGAACCTACATTTGTACAAAATTTTAACTTTTCAGGTCAGACTTGAATCTGGAATCATCCAGTAAAAACCTGAGTTCAATAAAATATCAAATATTTGGATCACTGACAATAAGTTTAATACAAGAGGAGTGACAGCTCTCGGTTTTCTTCAGGCAATGCTCCGAGTGTGACCAGGCCAGCAGTGATGAAGCTGACATCGCCATGGAGACGCTGCCTGACGGCACCAAGAGGTCTAGAAGGCAGATCAAAGGACCGATCAAGTTCATCCCTCAGGAAATGTCTCCAGAGCCCAAGAAGCAGCAAGTGAGAGGCACAGTGAGTACTGGTGAACTCTCTTCCTCGTCCTCTCCTTCCTCCTTTCCCTCGTCTTCTTCCTCCTCCTCTTCCTCCTCTACTGGTTCATTAGAATGGGACTGATGGATGTGAGGGCTAAGTGATTGCAAGTAGTTAACCTGTGTTCTCATGCTGATTGCTCATTTTCTTCTTAAGGTTCATAGATGGAAAAAAACACATCCTGATGTATTTACTTTGGATGTACTTTGAAGTGGCATTAGTTTAAAGAGACAGCTCTGAGGGGAGGGATGTGGTGTGTGTCGCTTTGCCTCTGCTGGTCTCCTTTCTCTGGGTAGTCAGCTGAAACTCTACACACAGAACTCTGGACTCCTCTCACGGTTCAGCTGTACAGTAACATGCAGTTCTGCCTTTGAAAAGCATAAATACAGCTACACTGTGGTTACACACTGCAACTCGGATTTCTATCAGCAGGTTAGCTCTACAGCTGATCGGTTTGAGTAAAACCTCTTTAGTTTTTGACAGCACTGAGCTGCTGCTACCTTTGTATCACTATCCATATATCTGAAATTCATACATATCTACTTTTTTATTGACATTATTGATGTCTGATCTTGTTTTTATTTACCTCTGGGGAAAAAAAGAGATTAAAATACTCTAGTCTTAGTTTACAAAATGACCATTGTTTACTGATGAACCAAAAGATAACTGTCTGTCTGAGGCAGGAGTTGTGACGATCAGCCCTCACAGCCCGTCTTCAGTGTAAACTCATTCAGTCTGCTGCTGTGCTGCTGGATCTTTGCCTGGTTTCTCACTTTCACCTGTGAGACATATGAGAGGTGTCCTGGGTGTTTGAAGTTACCCCACCACATCTCAGAAGGTGGGCTTTGACTAGACCCAGGACTTTCAACTTCTTATTGGACAGAGAGGAACATTCAAAAAATGTAAAAAAAAGTGTTTTTAAATTAGTATGAAATATTCATATGTTTCACCTGCTTGTCTTGTCATGTCTTGATAAGTTTTTATTGAAATGAACCTTTGTAAGGCAGTGCATACACACAGTAAAGACCAGTGAACAGGCATTGGATTCAGTTCCCCTTCATTCAGTCAAATTCCATGTGTTGATTCAACATCATGTAGATCAAAGCAGTGAAAACGGATGACTCAGGGAGCTGATGCTTCAGACCTGATACTTTGATTTTGCCACAATAGCTGCATTTCAATTCAGTTCAGTTTTATTTATACAGCAGCACCAGTTCTTAATGAATCTTGTCTCAAGGCACTTTACAAAAGAAATTTCAGTTCAATCATCCCACATTCCAATCATCTTCCCGAACACTAGGAGTCGTTACTGAGAATAATAATACTCCCCACAGTAGGAATAGAAACAGATGAACCCAACAGCAGCTCCGCTCTGAAGCCCCAACAGTCTGAGATCACTTCTGATTCAATAACCAGAATCAACATCTATTGTTTATTTATTATCAAATGAAAATGCAATCTTACTTTTTTATCAACCATTTGTTGAGATGTTTATAATCCACTGTACAAATCTGAGTCATTCTGACTGCTTCTGACATTCTGGAAAGCTTATCGGACAAACATTCACAATTAACTCCTACTAAAATGTTATGCTGCTGCTTTCATGTGAAAATCATTAATGAACAACCTGAAAAAGTGGCAGATGTATAAATACAATACAAAATGTACAGGAAGGTTTTATCCAGAGGAGTCCACAGTAATGGATGCTAATATACTTTAAATATATATTTTTTCTAGATAGTGTCATATAAGCTGAGAGATATGGACTTGGAATTTTATCAGGATACTATTGTGATAATGATAAAAATTTGTATTATGTCTTTTTTAGGTCTCTGTGTGGCTGCAACTGCATGGCAGCATTCATGGTGCCACAGACACAAAAATTGTTCTGGAAAAATATTCCCATTTCAAACAGTCATTTTTTCATTGCAGTGATTCATGTAATTTAACTGCTCATAGTAACTCAATTTATTTAATTCAAATTTACAGATACTTATTGATGCTCTTGTGGAATAAACAGAAACAGTGGAGAAATGGGTAAAAATAAAATTTCAATCAGTTTTTTTAATATTATAAATTGAAATTAATCAAGGCAATAAGAAATTTTCCATGATAAATGACACGATAAATGCCCATCCCTATTGTCACACATAAACTTGATGTCTGAATGTTGTTGGGTCTGCTGCGGCTCAGGGCGATGCCGGCAGTCTCATTTTTCTCCTCCGTTCCCAAACTTTCAGAATTGATGTGAACAGAGCGATGCGTCTAGATTTCATTCAGAAACACTGTTGCTCTACCAAGGCACACACTTTCACAAATGTGAATGAATAGGTTAATCTTCACATCCCCACACCAGACGAAGCATTCAGACATGAAAGTGATGTGTTCAGTGACTGTCAGATTAATGGAGGACGGTCCATGTCTGAAGGGTGAGCTATGAGCAGGAACAGAAGCCTCTCTGCTGCTCACTGGATCCTGCTTATCTGAACTGACCATGTTCTGATCCTGTAACACAGAGCTGCCTCTCTGCTCCCTTGACAAACACTTCAGATTGATATCTGACAGCTTGGGAGTGTGTGTGTGTGTGTGTGTGTGTGTGTGTGTGTGTGTGTGTGTGTGTGTGTGTGTGTGTGTGTGTGTGTGTGTGTGTGTGTGTATCACTTCCCATCTGATTTTTGCTTTGTTTTTACTGTCAAAACATGACACTGCCATTCCCAAGACTTCAGCAGGAATATTAAATTGTGTGCCTGTGTTTCAAAGAGAGGAAAACGGAGAGGAAGAGCGTCTTGGACCTCGGTCTGTGTGGTGAGCGCTGGAGTGTTTCTGCTCAGGTTTGGAGCTGTTCGCTCTCAGATACGTGCTGAACACCCTGCCGGGGTTCTCTGGGATTAAGCAGCCTTCTGATTTCTCAGACAGCCGCAGCCATTCAGGAGCAGCACTTCAGTGCAACATTTATCTTCAAAAGCAAGGCATGCAATGGCAGCAGCTAAAAGGGCTGCTTTGCATTTTTAATGCTTTTACCGGAGCACCCGAGTCCTTGCACTTCTCTAAAGCCATGTTTCCATTCATCAGGACCTGCTAATCGACCTCCTACTGGCCTTTGTGTGTATCTGGGAGTTCATTTGTCAGGAAGGAGTTTTGTGTGTTTAACGACATACACATTTTCCTTTAGTGGATGTCTTTAAACAGTCCAGCAGCACCTTGTATGTCTTGGGGAAGTTATTAATGGATTAAAGTGAGCAGTGTCTGCTTTTATTTATTTATCATCTATGTGATTAAACAAGAGCCTTAAGGGGGCAGTATTATGTATTTTCCAGGCACATTATGCCATTCTATATAGCACAGACAAGTAACTATGTTATCTTCAGTTATGAAAAATGTTGTAAAATATCAAACATAACTTAAAATAAATTTGATGTCTCTTTAAGAAACTCCTGCTCTTTCTGACACCGCCCACCCCCGTGTTCCTTCATTAAGCCGTTTTTAATCATTCTTCAGAGCATTTGTACTTGGGAAGCAGTTCCTATGATGATCTTACCAGATGCTCAGTTCCACCGGGTTTTTCCTAATTACTGCTGCCGCTAGTCTGGAGGAGCTGAGAGGGAGAAAGCGTGGTGGAGGGCTGATCTGTGAGGCAGAGGCTCAACTGGAGACTACAGCTCTGAGGAGGAGCTTTGGGTAAATAGGCAGATTTTTGTGAGAGCAAGAATTTATGCACACCCAAATGGTTTATTTATTTACTTTATTTATTTTGAATGTGATGGAAGTATAAATGTCTGCTGGTCCACTGTTAAACCATATGAGAAATGTTGTTTGGAGTTTTCAGTGACGTATATCATGGGACAATCAACAAATGCGTTATTCTGTCAGTCAAATCAATTCCGCAGTGCTCAGTGCAGCCAGTTGGCTCTGCTAATGGAGATTAATCTGGCCGAGGCGGACTGAGACAGGACCGGTTAGAAGCGCTCTAGTGGAGATGCTGTGTTTTCAGTGAGTTCTGCACCAACGTAGAGGCTGGACGATATGGCTTCAAAACTTATTAGCGTTTCATGTCAGTCGATAATGATGATTGTCGATATCATTAATTATTGATTAGTCTTTTGGCGTGACCTTTCCTGTTTTATCCACAGCATTTATTTTGAAGCCGTTGTGAGGCACAGCGGCAAAACTTTATACTGCACAAGTTACTGAACAAGTTGCTGCTAGGTAACCAAAGAGTGAGTTAGTTGATGTCACCCACCTTACTTAGCTGGCAGTGAGGAGTCAAAAACTTTTGTCTGTCTACATCTCCCAGAATGCCATATAAATGTACTGAACTTATATAGTGCTTTTCCAATCATTTTGAGAACTTAAAGCGCTTTACACTAGAGTCACATTCACCCATTCGCCCTCACAAACGCTCACACATTTATACACCGATACGCAGATCAGTAGGCAATTTGGGTTAAGTGCCTTGCCCAAGGGCACATTGACATGTGGCAGGAAGCTGGAATCAAACCTACAACCTTCCGATTGCAAGACTCTACCCACACAGCCACGGTCGACCCATATGGTTCTGGATTAGAGTTCAGGGAATATCCTATATGTTGACTATTGAATATTCAGCTGTCTTATTGATCATGTGTCTGTGACAATATATGTTGGTATTGATTTATTGTCCAACCTTGCATACATGTCGAATATAAAAGCCTCACCACTTGCTTGTACACTCAACACAAACCTCTAAAAGCTCAATTACAATTACAAAGACTGAGTCACACTTTGTGTTCGTTTATCTCACACATGCTCGCTCAAAAGCGCTCAGTGCGTGTTCTGGCACAAGCTTGGCTCTGTGTATGCGCTCACAACTTTATACAGTTGAATAAAATTATCCTTTATTGTCCCACAGTGTGAACATTCTATTGTAACAGCAGCAAAGCGACTAACAATCAAAACATGTAGAGTCACACAAAGATAAAAATATAGGTATAAATACAGACAAA